TCCTACCACCCTTAATCATCCAAGAATGGTGCCCCACCCCTTTATCTGCTTCTCAGCCATCCCTGCTGTTACTTGCCAGTTGGCACCATCACTAGATTTGGCGAAATTGTCCCTCAGAAACAATGGAGAATAAGGTTGTGGATGTAAAGGGAAAAAAAATCCTAATATAATTCAAAAGTGTGAATTTAAACAGACATTGTTAACAGAAGAGGGCTTGCTTCTATTGACTTAGTCATTCCCATATACAAGGAACAGTCAGAAAGTAAGGTCTCTTAATTTCAAACTCCTAAGCCAGCCACAGACATGGAGGATTTTTTTTTCTTGCTGAATTTTTACCAAAAGAAAGCACAGTAAACTTTTAGAGATCTCCATTAATGCCCTGAAACACTGCATGAAAATAAGCCCAAGAGACATACCTGAGTGGCTGTTTCTGCATTACAATATTAGACCACACATCAGCTTGCACACCAGATGCATGGACTGTATTGTCCCAAGCTCTGTACATCTTGGAGGATGAAGAGCAGACTATGAGGGCCCTGTGGGTGGGGTCCAACAGAGGAGCTGACAGTGTGCTGCCCAAGTGGCACTAGCACCTAGCAAGCATTTGTACTTTCAAGTCCTCTCCCTTCAAACCCTCTGTGTAGTTCCTTTCCAATCAGAAATCTGATGCTCAGCATCCACAGACAAGGCAGCTCAGAGGAGCACTTCTGGCTGGATGTTATCACCACATAGTTCTTCTGGGTATGAGAAGAGTTTAATGTGCAAGCCAGCACAGCGTTGCCCAATGTTCTTTGCAGAGTGAAGTGTAAAGTTAAGATGCATTAATTTCTTGTCTTCCATTTCCAAGAGTGGGTTTGCTATACAGTGTCTCACAATTGAGACTTGGGATGAGACTATCATCTCCAACCTCTTTATTTTTTGGCAAAAAAAGTAGTTTCATTCTAGGGAGGGCTTGAGTTCTCAGAGGAATAAGCCTGGTGCAACTCCACTAATATTCAGGGAGCCAATCCCAGAGCTCTGTAATGTAATGAAGCACAGAGTTTTATGCTCTTTCCTTATAAAGCGCTCCTTAAAGTTGTCATTACTCAAGAAGGAAGAAAACCTATTTCACTTTTTTTTCCTGACTACCTACATTAATGGTTTATCTAATTCGCCTCACATCTTTGCTCCAGTACTACCTGGCTCACCAGAATACAGGTAGCCAGCCCCCCGGTCAGGACAAAATTGTTGTAATATATGGTATCTCAACTACCCAAACGCTAGAACTACTGTGGTCAGCGTTTTGTAGTAAACCTACTATATTAGAAGACATATACAAAGTATTTTAAGTTTAGTTTGAACCCTCCAGGTGCCAGTTAGTTATGAATTTACTGCTAAAAGATTTCCTCTTAATTACCAGATTATGTAATGGCTCTCTAGCCCATTGTCAAGTTCACTAAGTTAGGATTTACAGCTAAACAAAAAGTATCAATTAAGCACTGTCTGAAAACTTATATATATGTAAGTTATATATATAAAGCTTATATATGAGGCATTCATTAAAAGGGGAAAAATGCATTAACAAAAAAAATCAGCAAATACAGGCTCTTAATGTGAAAAGGCAAGGCTATTTCCAACTGCTTTATTGTTGAAAGCTCATTAGCTACAATACATTTAGTCTCTTCATGGAACCCTTTATCCTAGGATCTCCAGAATTGCTTTACAACTATCAGTTAGATCTCAGGTCACTCCTAAGTAAACATTTTCCTTCCTTTGATAAAGTGGGTACAAAAAAAAAAAAAGAATCACTAAGGGGGTGAGGCATCCAAGTCAGTCAGTAACAAAGCCCAGGTACAGAGGTACAGACTACAAGGACCTCAAGTCTTAGGTATCATGCATCCACCTTTTAAATGAGTGGCTTTCAACCTTTTTTTCGTTTGCAGACCCCTAAAATTTTTCAAATGGTGATTTGGACCCCATTTGAAATTTTCAGTGGAGGTGCAGACCCCTCTGAATTGTAAGTGTGGGTATTCACATATTTTTGATTGATCATAGTCCTCTTTCATGGACCCCTTAGACAGTCTGTGGACCCCCAGGGGTGTGCAGACCACAGGTTGAAAACCACTGTTTTAGATAGTAATAGAACAGATTTTGTCATTAGGCAATGGATACCTGTTCAGACTAATCAAGGTTTGTGAAAAACAATCTATCCTGTGTAAGAACAGCTCTTTATGGGATCATAGAGAAGTAGGGCTCAAAGGGACCTCACAAGGCCACATAGTCTCACTCCCTGCTCAAGGCCAGATCATTCCTGACTAAACTATCCTAGTCAAACATCCATCTACCCTGCTTTTGAAAACTTCCAAGGATGATGATTCCACAATTTCTCTCAGTAGTCTATTCTAATGCTTGATCACCCTCACAGTCAAAAAGTTCCTCCTAATCTCCACGCTAAATTTCCCCTCCTACAGCTATTGCTCTTAGTTCTGACCCCTACAGACACAGAGAAAAGCCATCTTCATCATCTTTATAATTATAGTATTATAATTATATTATTTTCAGGTATTTGAAGATCCCCACCCGCAGTCTTCTCTTCTCCAGCCCGAATAACCCTAGGTCCTCCAGCTTCCCTCATAAATTTTGCTTCCCCAGACACCAATCATTTTTGCTGCTCTCCACCAGACTCTTTCCACTCTGTCTACATTCTTCTTGCAGCATGGGGTCCTAAACTAGAAACAGTATACCAGGTGAGGCCTCACTAGTGATGTACAGAGTGGAAGAACCACTTCCCTTGAACTGCAAGTGACACTCCTGTTGATGCAACCCAGTGTGGTTTTGGCCTTCTGCAACAAGAACACCCTGTTGGCTCATATTCAGTTGATGGTCTACAGTAACCCCCCAGCTCCTTTTGTGCAGTACTTCACCATAGGCGGCAGAAGGCTGGGACTAACAGAGCTTAGACCCCCAGACACAGGCAGCGGTGGCAGTGCAGAGCATCACAGGGCATCCTGGGCACAGGCTCCGGCAGGCTGCAGCAGTGTGAGGAAGGGCACACACAGACACAGAGACGCAGCCAGAGCTTGCAGGTGGTCAGGAACTCAGCCTGGCCGGGCCATGTGTGGAGCAGTGCATAGCAAGTAAACATGGGGAAGGGAAGCAGCACAGGGAAGGAAGGGGTATTGGGGTAGGGGGGCACAGATCAAGGCCTCCACAGTGGGGGAGGGAGTAGGGCAGAGGAATGGGCAGGAGTTGGGGTGAATTGGGTCCTGGACAGGTTGTGAGAAGGTTGGAGTCTGGGCAGCCCATCCAGGGCTGTGGGGGGCAGGCTCCTGCTGCTGGCATAGGGGGCATGTGCCCCCCAGATCTGTGTGCAGGGTGGAGGTGGGCTGCCGCTGTGGGCTAGGCTCTGTGCCCCGCTGCCAGTGCTCTAGCAGCCATGCAATGCCATATGCCTCCTGCACACTGGCTGCGCCGTGTCCCCTGCCCACCCAGCAGTGGGAGGCCCATGACATAGTGGGGTGCAGAGCCCAGCCCTCAGTGGCAGTCTGCCTCCCCCCTACACAGATCTGGAGGGCACATGCCCCCATACCTGCCCCAGGGGTCAGTACAATGGTGGGAGGCTCCCCCCCTCATGCCCCTGGATGAGCTGCCTGGACTCCGACCAACCCATGACCTGCCCTGGGGCCCCATTCACCTCAGCCACTGCCCCACTCCCTCCCTCACTGAGGGGGCCTTGATCTGCCCCCCCCCCCACGCCCCCTTCCTCCTCTGCACCCCTTCCTGTCCACAGATTTACCTGCTGGGTGACGTCTGTGTGCATCTGTCTGTCTGTGTGTGTCTGTGTCTCTGCATGTGTGTGTCTGTGTGTGTGTAGAAGTATCTTTTAAGTTTAAAGTTTTACTCAGTCCCCCCAAATAATATTTTCTCCCTGCATCTATGACTTCAGCCTAACGCAGGAGTGGGCAAAATGGTAGCTCCACCCAGCAGCCCGACTCCATTTCCCAGCAGTCCCTGCCCATGTCACTGCAGCTGGTTTCCATGGAAAGCCCATGAGCAGCAGGGTAGCACAGGGCTGGGGTTTCCATGGAGACCAGTCCCAGCAGTGCTGGCAGGGTGCACAGCTGGGCAGGGAGCTGCTCTGGGGCCAGGGCTGGGATCTCGCAGTGGTGACATCGTGGTCCAGAGCTGGGGCACAGCCGTGATCCACGGCCTACATGCTCCTGCCCAGGGTGTGCGGGCAGCAAATTGCAGCTCTGTATTGGCTCCAGACCATGCTGTCACCACCACAGGATCCCAGCCCCAGAGCAGCTCCCCACCCAGCCATGTATCCTGCCAGCACTGCTGGTGCCAGTCTTCATGGAAACCCTGGCCCCATGCTGTCACAGCCCTGCTGCTCGTGGGGTCTCCAAGCAAACTGGCCACAATGATGTGGGGAGGGACTGTTGGGAAATGGAGTCCACCATGAGCCTGATCCAGCCCACAGGCTGGACTTTGGCCACCCCTGGACTAACCACTCGTTCCCCAGTCTGCATTTGTGCTTGTAATCATTCCATCCCCAAGTGCAGGACCTCGCACTTGTCATTCTTGAATGTCATTTAATTGATTGTGGACTATTTCTCTGGTTTATTCAGGTCATTCTGGATCCTAGCCTTACTCTCCAAAGTATCTGGAATTCCACCCAACTTGGCGTCATCTGCAAATTTGTTAATTGTACACTCAATCCTACTGTTTATAAAGATATTAAACACCATCTGATACTTGATGTGAAAAAAAGTTCCAACCACACAATATCAAGTGTAGATTAATTTATCTATAATTATGGTGATAGTAAAGTGCTGAAATTAATACATGATCTGCAAATCATCCACATGAAAAAAATTAGGGAATAGTGGAGGAAGCCTCCAGCCAGGAACAAAGTAGACAAATAGCTCTGTTTTCTAGAAGAGAAGAGTAAGTAATTTATCTATAGTTTAACAGTTAAAAAAAAAAAACACAACAACACACAAGAGCAAGAACAGCAATTGTTTTGTACTTTTGTGCAGGTCTGCATATTACACAAATTTATTTCAATGAACCAAATCTTTTTTGTGGTAAACAAATTATAAGTCTCATGTCTGAGTACATTCATTCACATGAATGAGCCATACATTTCCCTTCCAAGAATTGCAATATTTTACATTGTCCTTAAAAACAAGCAGATTAAGTCTTCAAATACTGTTCTACATATTTTTTTTAAGAAATAGATTATCAGTTTGTAGCCTGACCTTGACTGGTGCTGAGCAACCCAAGCTCCCACAGAGATTTCTCAGGGTTAAGCCTTCTCTATGGTTGTGGAACCCAGAGTGAGAGTAGCTGTCAGTGCTTTCTATTCCCCAGTAAAGGCAAGTCTTGAACTTCCACCATGGTCAGCCAGCTGACACCAGTGAGTAGCAGCTTTTTCTTCCCGCAACACTTCAAGTGTTTTAAGTCCATTTACAAGGAAATAATGGATCTCTTGGCAATTTTGGGGAAAATTTTCTGCCAAAGTTGCCCCTCTTGCACACTCTTGAGCAGCAAGCTTCAGTAGCAGGTCATCAGTTAATAAGTATCAAGCTGTCATCACTTTGTCGACGTCTGTGACTAGGAAAAAAATCCACAATTCTTCACTCAATAAAAAAGGCAATATTAAATATTTAGGGGTGCTTAAATCTCTCTCAGGCAACTAAAAAGATTCTGCCCATCTTAAAAAACAAAAAAAACCATAGGGTTGGAAGGAACCAAGGGATGCAGGATTTATTGTTTTTAAACCACCTTCAACAGATGCTTAATGGGCCTCTTTCCAAAAACCTACAGGAAAGTGATTTATGAAGGTGGTTTATCATGCTCTCAGCAAAAGGAAATATGTTGGGCTATCAATTTGAAAGAGAACCCATTAAGTGATCATGAAATCAGGTAAATTCCAGTAAGTTCTTGTGGCTATTAGCAATCTCTAACGAGAGAAATATTTTTTCCATCTGACAGGAACATGGATGTTCAAGACAACAATTTAAATAGGATTCTAACCCACGTCAGAGACAACAGATCCCCCAATATTTGATGTACTTTCTGGGGCTCCCCTAGTCGAAAAAGCCCTAATTTAATAAAAACATAGTTTACTGGGGTACAATATCCCAAGCCAAGCCACATCCTAACCTCCTAGGAGCAAATGATACCCACCCTTGTTGCCCATTTTGTTCCATGATTCCCTGTTTTAATCCACCTCTCCCAGAAACTGCAGGCAACCAGTAGAATTGCAGACAATTGGAACTGACATCTGTCAGCAACCTAAAGCTCCCAGTCCCCTGCCTCTGGTGCTCTTTCTAGTGCCAGCTAAACCACAACTTCCTATAGCCAGGAAAGGAGAAAAGTATCCAAGTCTGCCTGCAACCTAGACTAGTGTTGAAGCTGCAACTTGGTAACAAGCTCATGGAAACTCCTACCTTTAAAGCACCCAGAGACACTACTAAGAGCCTGAGATGCCTCCCCTCCTCTCTCACAAACCAGAGGTTTCTTTCATCCTTTCAAGGGCACATCAGGAGCAGAGACCATGGTATACAAGAACTTCAGGTATAACACAGGTGGCTCTCTGTTGTTTGATAGTCTTTACAAACAGAATTTGTCACGCTAGTTTGAGTCAGGATGTCAAATTCTGCTCCTCTTCCCTCAGACTATGCATACAGCATAACAGAATCGCAGTACCACAACCACCAGGGCCTCTTTACAGCTGCTAATGTCAGCAGGCAACAACTCTGAGCATGTTCTAAGAGGTCTGTCTAACGCTCTAATAGGAACTCAGCATGGCCTTGATGTTGACACTTTTCTTTTTTCCTTATAGGAACATTATCTTAAAGGGACATCAATTTTGTAAGATTTCTCTATAGATAGGTAGGGAAACCAGAGAACAAGGCAGTTTTTTACTAGTCCCATAACCTCCAGAGGGGCAAGAGCTACCTACCAGGGTTATAATACAAGTCTTACTCACAGATGACTCACCCTGTCCAAGTTTGCTGATGACACCCAACTATGGGGGGAGGTAAACAAACCAGAGGGCAGGGAGCAAATCCAGGCTGATTTGGACAGGCTGGGGAAGTGGGCAGAACAGAATAGGATGCAGTTTAACAAGGATAAGTGTCATGTGTTGCACCTAGGGAGGAAGAATCATCAACGCTCCTATAGCCTGGGAGGTACCATTCTAAGTAGCACCACTGTGGAAAGGGATCCTGGAGTCACAGTCGACTCCAAAATGAACACGAGTCACCAATGTGATGAAGTAATAAGTAAAGCTAACTGCACTCCTTCTTCCGTAAGTAGGTGCATCACAAACAGCTCTAGGGAGGTGATACTTCCCCTCTATGCAGCATTGGTCAGGCTACAGCTGGAGTACTGCATCCAGTTTTGGGTGCCGTACTTCAAGAGGGATGTAGATAACCTGGAAAGGGTTCAGAGGAGGGCCACCCATCTGGTTAAAGGCCTACAGGAAAAAACCTATGAGGACCGGTTGAGGGACCTGAATCTCTTCAGCCTCTGCAAGAGAAGGCTGAGAGGTGATCTTGTGGCCATCTACAAACTCACCGCGGGGGTGGGGGGCAAGCAGGAAACAGGGGATACGTTTACCAGGGTGCCCATCAGGGTAACTAGAAACAATGGCCACAAACAGAAGGAGATCAAATTTAGATTGGACATCAGGAAAAATTCTTTACAGTGAGGGTTGACAAAATATGGAATATGCTTTCAAGGGAGGTGATGCTACCTCCTTCCTTGGAGGTATTTAAGAGATGATTGGGCAAACACCTGGCTGGGATCATCTGATCCCAGCACTCTTACCTGCCTGGGGCAGGGGGTTGGACTCGATGATCTAATAGGTCCCTTCTGACCCTGAAATCTATGATGGGCATTGCCAAATAACTCAGGTGATGTTCCAGGGTCTCTAGAAAGGAGGTTACTGGAAATTATTTTCCCTTATCATGGCTTGCCTTGTTTTGCTTCAAAGGTTGCAATTTGCAGAGATGTCACTTGTTTTACCCACCTGTGGTGCCACACACTGCACATTCAGGAATTCCCCATGCTGCTACCTTGCAGCACAGGAGAATTTTTTGATCCCGGGAGATCCTGGGGTCAAAAAAACCCACACAGAAAAAAAGCAGGGTGATACACGTGGTGGCACCACACACCACCAAAAACTGGAGCCTGGCTAGCCAGAGCCACACTCCAGCTGGCAGCCAGGCTCCCAGGTAAGACTGCTAGGGCCAGCAAAGTTGCTGGCCCCAACCTCCCCTACCCCACCCAGGGTAACCTGCCACACACCAGAGCATGTGTGGCACAGGCATTCCCTGGGGAACCAAACATCCACACTTGTCTGGACGTGGCCATGATAGTCAAATTTTGATCCTGGCAAGCACCAAATAGGTGACCTCAGCAAAGTGAACATCCAGTCTCCTCTTGAAGATTTCCAGGGTAGGTGATGGCACACCTCTGGAGGGAGATTATTCCACAGTCTGGACACCCTAACTGTGAAGACATTTTTCCTAGTGTTAAGCCTGAAACGGTGTTCTCGGAGTTTGTGGACATTACTTCTGGTTTTCTCCAAGGGTGCCCTGGTGAACAGTTGTTCACCAAGCCCTTGATGTACTCCCATGATGTAGCGGTAAGCTGCTACCAAGTCCCCTCTCAGCCTTCTCTTTTTTAGGGTGAAGAGGCCCAAGTCCCTCAGCCTTACCTCCTACAGCTTGCCTTGCAAGTCTCTGATCACATGGGTGGCTCTTCTCTGGACTCTCTCAAGCTTTTCCACATCCTTGTTGAAGTGCAGCGCCCAGAACTGGACGCAGTACTCCAGCTGCAGTCTCACTAATGCCGAGTAAAGCAGAAGAATCACTTCCTTGGTTTTACATGAGATGCATCGGTTGATATATGTGTCAGAGTATTGTTTGCTCTGTTGGTTACAGCATCCCACTGACAGCTCATGTTCATGCTATGGTCTATTATTACCCTTAGGTCCCTTTCAGTCATGGTGCTAGTCAGTTTGGCGCCACCAAGCCTGTAAGTATGTTGGGGATTGTTCAACCTCAGATGGAGCACTTTACATTTGTCAATACTGAACTTCATCTGGTTCTGATCCGCCCAACTTGCCAGCCTGTCTAGGTCTGCCTGTATCTGCAGCCTATTTTCAAGTGCGACCACTGAAAGTTTCAGATCTATGCACTTTCCTGACCTCACTCATCTCTCCATGTGCACTTACCAACACTGCCTACCTCTTGCAGTATTTTTCACCTGGTTGTCTCAAAGCACATTACAAAAAAAGTTGCAATTAAACACAAAATTGCCTCTTTCCCCTTCCCCTACCATGATTACATTTAAGGAAATAACTAGGCTGTCAAACAAGAGAAAAAGGAGTAGTATACTCAGGAAACTGACCATTCTATAGCTAGATTTCTGGGGTGCCTGCAGCAGTGAAAAACTATACTGGCAACAGAACCAACACTAGGGTGCTTAAAATTGTACAGTTCATATAATCAATACAGCAACTGTACTAACCTTCCACAACAGCAGATGAAAGGTACAGAAGCCTGCAGTTCCTTTCCATACTCTATGCTACTGCATTCTTTCAGGAATTCGTGAAGATCTGTCACTGGAAGGCCATTTTGTTGGTATTTCTGGAAAATAGAATACCTTAGAGTACATAAAAAATCATCCCCTGCAACAATGTTCTAAGCCTACCAGAATGGAGTTGAAATTAGTGCTGCAAACTACATTAATAGATGAAGCTGTCCCTACAGCTGAGAGAAGCATAGCTGGAGGAACAGAAGAAAAGCTATCTATATAAAAAAAAAAAAAAAAAAGAAAAAGATAAATACAGTTCAGATATCCCCTTTTAGGCCTTTCCTGTATAGCTTCCTGGATACATTTTTTTAATTTTAAATAAGAGCAGGGTCTTTGCTCACTCCTACAAATTAGCAGTAAATATAGTAATTTATACATTGGGTTCTGATTTATTAAATAACTCCAACTGCAACTTTCTGAATGCCTTGAAGCAGAAACCATGAGCAATGACTTAAGTTTTGTCAACACTTCTTCTAGATGATGCTATCCAAGATACTTCAACATATTGACATTCAACTAGTTCTCCTTTAAGTATTTTGATTCAAAGGAAATAAACAAAGTAAACCCTATGCCTCCTCAGTTTACCTGACCATCAAGAAACTGTCAACCAATCATGTTTTGAAATGTTTGGGGAAAAAAAGCCTTTGGCTACCCTAATTTTGTGCTTCATATACTTCCACTACATAGCTACTACTACCCTGCTATATACCTGGCAGGAAGACACAGGGACAATAACTAGAGGCTGGTTTCTAAATAAAGCCTTCCAACAGGTCACCCAAATCACCAGGAAGCAAGTATGTAACAACAGATGGTACTACTAAATAAGGGAGATACCTTTAGAGGGTAAGAATGAAGGGAGCAATCTGGAGATAGGGATGTTGAGTGCTGTGGTTCTAGCTTGTTATTAATTAGCACAGGTAATACCATTCAGTAAGCAACTGATGGCTGCAGGATTCAGATCTGTACTGTTAAGCTATTTTAACTGATCTGCTTCTCTCCCTCTCTCCTTCCCCACTAGTGTTAGTACATCCTGGGGACCAGCTTCAGCCAAATGTTTTGCTGCTATGCAAATGCTCTTAGACATCTAGTAAAAAATCCCCAGCTCCATAGAACAAGCATTTCAGATTTTAACCTTCCCCTTTCTCTCCCTCAAGCTATTGTTCTGACCCATAAGTTAAACCCAGGCAAGAGTGGAAAGTGGGAGAGAGAAGGTGCATATTAAATTACTTTTTCATACCAGTCCCTGGATGAAAGAAATTCACTCTATTTGCCTCCCACTCCCCATCCCACATATCTTAAGCTAAAAGCTTTTGGTTATCCTCACTATGCATTAAAATCACTCAGCACCTCAGGAGCCCTTTCATTTGTCCAGCATTATGGTTTAACTAATGAGAGTGAATGCTGAATAATTAATTAGAAGAGAGAGTAACAGAGACAATGATTTACCTTTATAGTATCATAGGAATCTGTAATGAGTGCAATAAAAAGGCTGAGGATCATGTATATAAACAAACTAATGAAGGAATACAGATATAGTCGACTGAATAACCACACCAAGGTGCTCTTCTGTTGTATTTGAGCAAAAGTTGCAAACATGTCATCACCATTCACCAGAGAAAACAGACATTCAGCAACCGTGTTCAGGTCTTCAAACTAGGGGAAAAGAAAAAAAGAAGACAAACAAATATAAAATAGTGAAAGTGACTTCATTTCCCCTCTTTTCCCCAGGTTCTAAGGTTAATTAATGCATCCAGATGAGAGGGAGGAAAAGAAAGAGGGCCAAATATTTTTCCAAGTGTTTACTCAAAGCAAAGTCACCCCAAAACCAAACCCATGATGGCATAATCATTTGGCTCAGAGGCAGACAGAATTCTTTTCCATATATATATGCACTTGACATTTTACTTTAGTATTGGTGACAGCAAGATAACCCCTTGACACCCTGGCAGAAAATATAAACAAGGAAACAGGAAAATTCAAGATAGTAAAGGAGGGCTATCACCAAACATTATGCTTCTCTTCCTCCTCCAGCTTTACCACTTATTATCTTTCCTTCATTTAAAAAAAACTCCAAAAGAAACCAACAACAAAAACACAGTTCTTTACTACCTACTGCTTCACATAATGCTGCATATCTTGCCACTGCACTATCCTGGAGACAAATCTCACTAGACTGCTACACAAGGTTTTATTCCTGGGAGTGTCAGATTGGTGGGACATTAAGCCAGGGACTCTTCCATTATCACATTCTGCACAAGACTTTCAGTGACACTGAAGATGAGCTTGGATGAGAATCAAGTCATGCCTTTTTCAGACTGCAGTCAAAATTACAAACACATGGAAAAGCAAGGTGCCTGCACTAGGCTGCTCTGTGCAGGACAATAGTGCCCTCTAGTGAGAGATGAAACAGTTGCTAGAGCATTACAAACCACAGTAACTAAAGCTAAAAATTGATTTCCTTATCAATATGCCACACTGAGCAAGACAGTTTTAAAAGATAACTAGTCAAGCATTTATTTACTACACTTTCACTCACTTATACAATTAAGATGCTCACTACTTGAAGATTTGGCGAGTCAGCATCTCAGGGAAATGATTGTTCCTTATAGTTTACTGTGTGCAATCCTGCAATCTATTGTAGGTTTTCTGGGGAGATTTCTAAAAAGCTTTAGGCAGAATTCAGTCTGCACGTACTTTAGGTGATGGCACTAAGTGCCAAGGATAAGATTAATACACATTTTGTATTTGGTTTCTTAAAATTCCTAACATAGGGGCAAGACATTACAGGTTTGTGTTACAGCATTAAAATGTTACAGCATTAAAATGATGCCAAACAATGAAAAAACAATTAATATACTGCTTCTAACACACATCAGCAAGTACATGATTATGAATACTCAGAAACAAATCTCTTATCTCCAACCAGTTGTTCTTTCCTGTTAGAGCACTTTACACATCAAGCCAAGTAACTAGCCTTTGCTATTTATTTAAACTGGTATTTTTATTTTGTGATGTAGTGAACAATGCTTGGAGCTGTCCTGCATAAATGCTAAACTTACTGATTTTCCAAATCATTATATTTTAGGATCACAATCAAGTGTGCAAAAGTTTTTCCTACTACTCCTCTAAGGGTAAAAGCTACAAGCAATGAAAACCCCCCAAGATGACAAGTGGGGGCTAAAAGCGTCAGCATCCAGGTTGCACATACAGGATTGCATGGTTCAGCTCCAGTGCAACAACAAAAGGTGGGAGAATGTCAGGAAGTTCTGGTGCAGGTGCTATTGTGGTAGTATTTGAAATGGCAGCAGGGAAATTTATATACACACATTGTGGATGCAATAGTAATGGCTGCTTATTTAAGGCCAAGATACATTTTGCCTTAAAAAGCTTCAACTATTTAGTTACATGTTGAGAATACAGGGCTCCTTAACCTCAAGTTACATACATGAAGTAAAGACTATAATGAAGATTTGTATCTAAATATTTAATGAAGATTTCTTATTTCAGATATTTGTGCAGTTACTTCATTTTTAAGGTCTCCTAATAGTTACATACCTTTTCATGATAAGGCCCCAGTACAATCCAGCCACAGAAAGTATAGCCAAGATAGATCATCCCAGCACAACAGCAAAACCTCAGCACTTTGGGTAGTGATGCCTGCATTGTTAAAATGAGCACCTGGAAAAGTGGGGTATAAAGGAAGAGACGATAAAAAGGACACGTTAAATGATATGGAAGTGAACAACAAACATGTTCCAGCTGTTGAACACCTGATTCCATACTTACATTGTATGTTTGGAAATATCCTAAGTATCTGATGACTCCAACCCAAACAAACAGAGTGGATGTTCCAAGTAAAATGCTGCAAACATCGTAACTTGTGAGGTTCTGAAAAATGCAACACACAAATGAGTAACAAAACATATTGAGAGACACCTTTGCATGAAACAATACAGCTTTAAAATCCATATGGAAAGACTGGAAGATTGGAATACAATTAGTCTAAGCAGCCTCAGTTTACATTCCAATTCCTGTTGGACTGTGTATAACAAAGCACACAAGAACAAGAATTCGCTTAAAACCTCTGAGCACTGCATCACTTTCAACATGGGTACAAGAACATTACACAATTAGATTGAATTCTCATGAAAATCCAAAAAAAGAGCATAGTATTTATTATTCTTCAGTTTATAGCAAAACTAGTGATGGTGCTTCTGCCTACACTAATATTTTCAGCAGCATTAATGACCACCTAGTGACCCTGTTAACTTGAAACAGTTTCTGTCTACACAAAAGGTTTATACTGCTCATGGCCATAAGAAGTAATTGTATGTGGCTCTGCTTTGAGGCCTAGAACTGCCAAACAGTCACAGAAAACAGGTAGAAGAAACTAAGGGTGTTCACAGACATGGGGAAAACAAACACACAAAACAAAAAAAACCCCAGTGCTTTACTTTCAGCTCAGTGTGCCCCTGCACTGAGCACAGCACATGCCCAGAAGAGCAACTGCATCAATTTGACCCAGCTCCCCAGTGTATAGCTGATTCATCTATTAGATAAAAGCCCCAGAAAGCCACGCTGAAGTGTGCAAGCTATACAGATACTGGGGAGCTGGGTCAAACTGATGCAGTTCCTCTTCTGGTAAAACACTCTTTGTTTTGTTTTGTTTTCCGTCTACGTCCGACAGCACCCTAAAGTTTTTATCTCCCCACTGCGCCTGTGACCAATTTCATCAGCCCTTGTTCACATACTGCTTGTGCTATTCTGTGCACATGTCTCACTAGTATTCAGAGCATGCTGTCTGCCCAGATATTCCAAGAGCACCCCTATACAAACGCATCAGTCTGCGTGAATACGCACAATCTGTTAACATATGGCTGTGTTGTGGGAAAGGGAAAAAGACACCCCCCCCAAAAAAAAAACCCAAAACAACAAAAAACATTTGTTGCTCTCTAGAATGAGCTTGTTGCAAAGGACTAGCAAGACACCACTGGACTTGTGGTCTAGGCAGTCCATGAAAGCAAGTTACTGCAGTTACAGTTCCACTCCTATGCACTGCAGTTTGGGTACACTTCAGTACAGATGTCAAAAAGCCTGAGGCTGAATAGATTCAATCTTCACACTTCAATAAATCAATTTAACCTAAACGAGTTAAGTCTGATACCACATCCATCCAGATTGATCTTAAACAGGTTTTGGCCACTTTGAAGGTAGTTTATGTACACTGAACTTCTGTTGTGTTACAGACTTGAGCCCGTTTCTGTTCACTTATACCATGGTTTGTGTGCAATTTCTGTCCCTAGCCTTAGAGTCTACTGTTTGTCAAGAGACCATTTCTTGATTGATCTTATTCAGAGTATCATTTATAACAAAAGCACTGCTCATTAGTCACTTCTTAAGAAGTGATGGTAATATTTCTACTCCATGTCCCAGGTACACATAACAAAGATGGTTCCTCATGTAGTCATGCCTGGCATATTTAGACCCTGATCCTTGAAATATCATCTCTACATACTGCTGAGACAAACAAGAGGCAACAATTTGCAGAGTGTTAGCATACCTTCTACAGAATTTTAATGCATGTAAAAAAACCTGGACATTAAGGGCAGATTTTTTTGTTGGCTTTATTAAAATACAGCATGAGCCACATGCATTTAATCTTTCAAAAGTACCTATAACCATATCTACTTTATATAATTGTTCATTTTCTTTTTATGTAGTTCTACAAAACTAATGTATATAAATTTTGCATCTGCTTTAGTGTTTGCCTTAAGGACTCAAGAGGGAAAGTGTAAGCCCAGATGAAGAAGTACAACACTCTCTGGTCTGAGAGCTGAGCTGGTACCAGACAGAAAATGCACAACTGGTGGCAATGGATGAGGAGGAAAAGTAATAGCAACAAAAAAGAAGAGAAACCAGACCAAACTACTGAAACAGAACAGTCAGATTTGGTTTCCCTTACTGCAAGCAGGTTTAATACACATAAGATTAAATGCATGCAAGAACAACATTAGAATGTTAACTCTCACCTTGGCTTTTATTTCCATTTTAAGTATAGATCCAACAATTGTCATCATATCACTGATAATCACCAGGACATACCATCCATTTATAAACTCCAGACGGTCAGCATGACAGACGTGGCGTTGATATTTTTCCAGGAAAAAATTCACAAATCTCTGCATTAAATAAGTATTTAGATATCCGATTACTGATTCCCCCTTTTGGAGAAGGAATCTCTCCTACAAGTGCTCTAGCACCAGAGCAGAGCTCAAGTACATACTTGAATTAGACATGTTGAAAGAACATACTGCTTCTATATTATTTGTTAGAGTTAGATTAATATGAAGGCAACAACAGTAACAACAACAAACAGTCAGCATAGGAAAAGAGATATTTAATTGCATCTCTGCCAAGTAAATGCTATTTTTACTGCTGTTCATACCAACTGCATGTTCTACATTATGCATGCCAACTCACTGACTGTCCCTTGCGTCCCCTACTGATGGGTGAGTGCTCCTATCCCAGCTCCTCAGACCAGTATGACAAACCCTTTGCTGAACTGTGTCCCATTCACCTTTGTCCTGTTTGCAGATTACACAGATAGCATGTTGATTAAGGTAACTGGATACTATATATCCTGTGTTCTCCTCTTTCCACTTAGGCACCCACACCCTAGCTCCCTTCAGGAGCAGATTTTCCAATGAACAGCAACCAGAAAAAGTAAGAAAAAGTATCAGACCCCTGCTTTCAGGAATTTACTTAATGAAAATTTAAATGTCTGAACATTTAAAAGAAAAAAAAAACAACTCAGAACTCAGGGTTAAGAACACTTATTTTAAGGATGCATGCTTTTTGCTGCTTAGAACAAGAAATGAGAAGTTTGGCAGAATTTTATACAAGATTCTTTGAACGAAGTCAATTGCAAAACATCCAGAAGATGTTAATGGGCAAGGATTTCACCTTGTAGATATTAAATTATCTTTTTTATTACAGAAACATTCAGGAGTGCTACTTTGCACTGCTGGGAGCAACTAGCTGTAGAGGCACGCAGTGAAACTGAGCTCTCAGGCTGGACCTAGACCCTTTCCTACCTTGCCTCCATGCTTTCTAAGAGTGCATCACATTCACCTAACAACCCAAAATTAAATCACTGTTCAGTAGAACTAAAAACTTAGAAAACAGTGGGAACATAATACACACAGACAAGAAAGCTGTACTTACTTTTTGAAGTTTTAGAGCAAGAATAATGGATCGTGTGCAGAGAATAAGGGAAGCAAAGCAACTTACAATGACAAATCCATCAAACACCAGAATGTACTGAGTGTTCTTCTGAACAACTATTTAAAAAAATATGAAGAATTAGATTTCTACATATTTGTTTGAGCAAAGAACTTAAAAAGTGGTCTGCAAATGACAAAGAGCTTCAATAAGTATTGAAGCAGTTATATTGTTATCTTACTTCAAAAACAGCCTGAAAGTAATGCAATTTTCTTTAAACTATTTGAAATTAAGAAATTTTGTTGACAGATCAAATTTTGCCTACCATAGAGTAATGCCTTTCTACTCATCTATTTTTTTCAAAGTGTATTAGTTACTTCACAGAAGTTGCATATGACAGAAATTGGCACATGAACTTAATTAAACAGAAGGATTTCCCTCCCTCACCTTCCCCCAACATCTATGAAAATGAAATAAATATTGTTTTATGGATCTCTCAACTTATACCAAAAACTGCTACAGCAGCAAGGAAATTCAAGGCACATTTCCAAGTCAGTGACAATATTCAACAGATCCGGGGGAGAGAGAATTCTCTCAATTTAAGTAAATATATTCCTCCTTTTCAAAAATGTGTCAAAAGTAATTTTTTTTTACATATTTCATACACACACACACAATAAAATATAATATATGCATGCCTTCTGATATTTATTCAGGGACTTAAATAGCCTTTTGTATGTAAGCATTTTGCACATAGTACAGAACAAAGCCATTTATCAACTAAGATCAGTAAACTGAATTAAACTAATCAACTATTTGTTATGCAGGTAAATTACAGGAAAATAGACAGTTGTAAGAAATGAATACATGGCTACAAGCCCCAGAACACAAATGAGTAGAAAACTAAATAACACAACTCCAATATCATTAAGACTAGGGTAGAAGAGGGAGCAATAAGTAGGTGGGCTCCAATCATGGGCAGATCCAGGATTTACTAAATGGGGGCACAGCACAACACCCTTCAGGTAGGGGAAGGGGGGTAGGAACAAGGCATGGTTGCAGCCCCCCTGGGCTGGCAGGTGACACCAGGGAGCCAGGCAGGGAGCAGATGTACTTTGTGGGGCATGACCTGCCCACTACCACTGCTACCCCAGGCTGACTCAGCTGGGAGGAGGGGGTTAGGGGGAGTCCCAGAGCATATGGAGCCAGGCTCTGTCAAACAGCAGTGGCAACACCCAGGTTTTTCCCCCTAGTACTGCTCCCTCCTCACCCCTTCCCTGCAGGTGTCTCCTGTTGGCTAGGAGCAGGCAATGGAGGAAGAACCCTTTAATGCCCCCCCCCCCATCCTCAGCCAAGCCCAGCTCCCCACACAGCTGCTCCCTGCAGCACAGCTGGAATGGGGCAAGAGTGGTTCTGGGGCACCCCTGCATCAGCCCAGGGCAGTGTGGGGCAGGTTCCTCCTTCAGTGCTTGCTCCCAGCCAGCAGGGTGACACCTGGTGGGGGCAGTAGGGAGCAACAGCAGGAAGAAGAAACCTGCCCACTGTGGCTGGGGTGGGAGATGAATAGCTTTGGGGTTTCTCCTGCACTTGGGGACAGAGGTGATGGTACCAGAAGGGGAATGCAACTGCATTGCTGCACCCTGCATTGAATCTGCCCCTAACTCCAACCATACCAAAAAAAAAAAAAAAAAAAAAGTAATGGGCCATTTGGCTAAAGAGAAAATTCTTCTTGCATTGTTCTTTTTAAAATCAAGACCTCCTGTAGTGCAACACAAAATCCTATCAGTTTTACTACTGTATCCTAGCCTTTAATAGCAATTGTGAGGTTCACATTCATTAAAAACTGGTGACACAGGCATGTAGCACTTTGCCTTACTAAGCATTTTTCTGAAGTGAAGCCTTTAAAAACATTCATATCTTCCTTAAGATCAGAAGAATGCTGAAACAATGCAAGAAAAATGTAGATACTGTTCTTATTTGTATTGCTCACCAGAAATAGCAGCATGGACAATCTTATTTCTCACAAAGCCCTTAGAGTCACAGTAAGCTTCTAGTCAAAAGGAAAGAATTTTAAAGTTCCAGGGGGAAAAAAAAAGTTGCAGGTGTCTGAGTTTCAGTACTCATCATTGCTCGAAAAGCCTGTGTTGAAATTCAGCTTACTGAAACTAAGTGATAGAAGAATCAAATGGCAGGGACAGGGTACCAGCATATCAGGGCTGCTCAGTGCCACAAAGCAGTAGTGGGGCGACCTTCATCCTGGTGAGTGAAGGGGACAGGGCAAGCTCTGATTTTCCATGATTAAAAACCCCAAATCAAACACCAACATATATAGGTATTTAGAATTTTATTATAACGACTGAGGTATTGTTTGGCTTCCAAATTGCCTTAAAATTGTAAATATATCAATAAAACGTTTTGTTCAATGGTTACCTATATATATGCATTTCATTTTAATCACAGAAAAACACAGACTTTGGGGTTTTTAATCAGATAATTCTGGATTTTTTTAACAGAGAAAATCAGGATCCCTGCTGATGACATTACATAGTTATTTTAACCAGTGAGCTGTCACCCTTGTATCTGGTAAGTCTGACAAGCAGACCACTGGTTAACTGCTTTTGTATAGCTGCCTGCATGCATCTTAGATCACAACCCACAAAGGGAGGAACAACTGTTTACTTATCAGGTGAACACAGGAGCAGAGCACATGGCACAGATCCATAAGGATTAAACTGTATACCCAGAGATTCCTTCTGCTGAGGTACTAAAGTGACTGAAATAACTGTTATGGGACCATAGTCAGATATTTCATCCAGGACCTTAGAAATGCCTAGGAGATGCACATGCATTTAAGTAACAAAAATATACTCTTTTGAAATAGGTTTTTGCTCCTGTTGCAACACAGATCTTCAGACTGACTCTGGCAATATAAACCAGCTCTCAAGCTGGCTTTTGTCTGCCCCTTAGAAATTTCTAGTATACTAGCACTGTTTCTACACTAAACCCCTTCTAGTCCTTGTGTTCTCTAGAGTGCCAGGTGTGGGGGAGAAGAGGGGAAATGGGAATAAATAGTTGATTAGTTTAATTTAGAGTTTACTGATCTTACTCCTTGCTCCTATCCCCACTGAGCTCTATACACAGGATGTCCCTTTGGCCATGAAAGTTCATGCCTCTCTAAACAGCTAGTCTGCTGCCTCCCCTTTAAAAAGAAAAGAAAAAAAGAAACGCACAGCTAAATTAATCTTTCTGCTCAGAGAAATAAGATAGGAAAACAAGAGGTGGTGCCAACACTACCATGGTCAGAGAAAGTTAATGCAAAGGCCAATAGGGAAATCCAGGTAAATAAAAAAAGGTAAGTTCAGGGAGAACACCAGCAGAGCCAAGAATAAAAACAAGATCTCACTTCCTGGCCCACTTGGCTATATCTCCCAAACAGACAGCCAAGGAGGAACAAAATAAATGACTACATGCATTTGGTGAGAGCAGGAGAAGGGAAGAAGGGTTATCACTAGCACAGAAAAAGAATGTACAACTAGGAGAAAATTAAAAGAAAAAATGAAGGTGAATATAAAAAATATTTCCTAATGCCAGTCTCCTTTGTGGAAATGACATAGGCTACAAACCTGGGCCATTTAAAAAAAAAATTAAATTAATGCACTAGAGAGTATAAGGCAGGGAATGATACCATAATCATCTCTATCTTTCTCTTATTCACTGGTCAATAGCGACCTAGTGTGAATGTTCTTTTTAGTAAAATTAGCCCATTGTTTATTAATATGGGCACATATAGAACCAGTCATAATAGAAATTGAGTGAAGATTTGCGGGAAGCAACAAGTTTTCATCACACAGCATGCACAATACTTACTGGAACCAGATATATACCAGTCCTTGCATTCTTGAATATCGGCATCACTATCAAAGTAGATCTTCACCTTACCACTGTGTGCTTTGTTGTTGAAAGTAATCTGCAAAACACAAATAAAAATTCATCATTTGAATTTTATATATAAAAGCAAAATAGTAAGTTATACTAGTCTTAAAAAGGCCTTGAAAGACAAAGCAATACCCAGCTGTATGAAGACAGTACATCTGAAAACTTTTTTTTTTTTTTTTTTTTTTTTTTTAGCTAAAACAAAACATTAAAAAAGTTAATTCAAAGCTTTGAATTTTCTTCTGAAAAACAAAACATTCATATAATGTGAAGAGGGAACAGTGTCTGAGAAGGGGTAAATAGTTACCAGCTCTAAAACAGGTCAGAAAAACAAGAGTCCTCTTTGGTAGATTGTCTCATTTACACAGCTGTAATCTTACTGACTTCAGTAAGATGCACAGTAGGGCTGTGCGAAGCTTCAGTCACCAATTCGATTCGGATTCGGAGATTTGGCTGCCGAATCGGACCAAATCTCCTCCGAATCGAATCAGGAGACTCGTTAATCTCTCCGAATCAAATCGGAGTCATTCGACAATTCGGCCATAGACACAGCTTTATACATTTTTTCTACATACCTTGAGGTACCAGGCGCAGCTCATGAACGCTGAGATGATGGGGCAGATGGAGTGTCCCACAGGAGCGCAGGGGGTTCCCCCGCACACTTGGCGACAGACCCAGAAGTGGACCAGAAGTACCAATCGGCAGCGGGGGGACCCTGGGTGCCCCCCCAGACCCAGGAAGCACCAGTCACCGAGCCGGGGGGGCCAGGGGAGCAGTGTCCCTGTGCGCTCCGTAGCAGACACGAAAGTGGACTGGAAGTACTTCTCCACCCCACAACGCTCCCATGGGACGCTCAATCTGAAAAAACATATAAAGCTGTCTATCTCCAAATCAGAATCGAATCTTCAGATTCAGATTTGACCAAGTCAAATTGAGACAGTGATGTGAATCGGCGAATCGAATGACTGTCCCCTGAATCAGGCCGAATCCAAATCAAATCCTGCCGACTTCGCACACCCCTAATTCACAGCTGTTACTGTCATTAATTACATACTATTACTTTTAATTTGTAGCTAGGTTGTAAATGAAACAAAATTTGCCAAAATTTTAGACAACTTGATTCTATGCATGTAAGCCTGGAATTTACTTACAGTATTCTGAAATGCATAGCAGTCAGGCAGTTCACGGGCATGGATTGTTTGTAGATCAATGCCCTTAAGTTTAAAGGAGAGTTCAACCTGTATAAGCCTAAACAAAAAGAATAAGATAGAAATCAGAAAAGTTAAGTGTAGTATATTCCATTATTTTCATATGATTAATGCATCTTTAAAAAAAGTTTACCTATAAAATTCAAGATTGAAAAATGATGAATTCTTTATGTCCAAGTCATTAACCTTCTTATTAGCTAGTGCCTGTGGTTCTAAGCGAATACAATCTAAAAAAGGAAGAGAAAGATATTTTTACAAGTCTTATATTTAAAAAGGGATTCAAATATGGAAGGTACTCAAAGTTAGGTCCTGACCTGACAAACTATTCATTGTAAGCACCTCTGCTTATGTGGAGCCCCACTGAAGTTAATCTGAGATCCTGAGCAGCTGCCAGTTTTGAGGTGCTACTTTAAAAGCAGCAGGCTGTCCCTGAACAGGTTTACTAATGGACTCCCCTCTCTGAGTAGGGAAGGGGGCGAGGAGAGGCAGGAAGGAGAGCCACAGGTCCTAGTAACTCCTTATAATGCCTCCTGGCTGGAAAGCATGCTGCCACACGCTCTTATAATAATCTCAAACTAGGGGGCTCTATCTGAGGGATTGCATCTGCCTGTGCCTATACTGCCCCATTTTTGCAGCACTTCAAAATGCTGGGGTACTTGTAAGATTTGTAGTGCTATATCTTTCCAAGTTAACTTTTCCTATGTCATTGTAAAAGTACAACTGCTGCACAAAAACTTATTAGTTTTTAAAAAAAAATCATTGTTGATTTGTCATTACAGTACAGAAAGCCTCCACAGCAGCACTTTTTAAAAATTGTAGAAGGATTGTACCTGTTTCAATGGCAACATCTATATTCAGCGTATCATTGGACGGAAGCATTGTGCCTTTCTTGTACTGCTGTTTACATATTTTTAAGCCTGACCCATCATCTTCGTCATGTTCATAACCAAGTGTTCCCAGGGATACATTCTTTAATTGATGGTACTAATTCAAGAACAAAAGTCTCAGTTAACTTAATTTATTTCTTACCTTATTCCTTAATGTATGGCTTTAAGTATTACTAATGCCTAAGTAAATGAGTGTGGGCAAGAATATAATTTTTTTCCTTTCCTGCATGAGACTAGTCCATAATACAACTTTTAAGGTAACCTTTGTCCATGTATTGCAAAAATCAACAAGTTCAACCTCCATGCAAGGTACACAAATAAATGAATGCCACACAGACACAGGAGTCAAACATTCCAAATCAGCAGCAAGGTCTAAACTACTCTCCACAAGTCTCAAATAGCTGGTAACATCCTGATACTACCCAGGGGCATATTATGCAACTTATATTAAAAAGTATTAGGCTCAACTGGTCCAGCAGCTTCAAAACCCTTAGATGAAAAATGTTATGACTTTTCAGAATTAGAAATATATATTTAAAACAAAGTTAGCACAATCATCTTAACAAAAGAGCTTTAATGAAATGGCCAGTTAGAACAAAAGAAATTCGAAGCCTTTAATAATACATCTCAGAGGAAAAACCCCAAACTGTTGATGATTTTGGTAATTATAATTCCGCCCACTGCCCCAGACAAGAGCCAAGGTGAGCAGCTTCAGAAAAGGGTTGGGATGACCCACCACTATTAGACAACTAGGTTATTGCCACCCAGTCAGACTCAAACCACATAGAATCATAGAAAATAAAGGTTGGAAGGGACCTCAGGAGATCATCTTTCTAGTCTAACCCCAAGCTCAAAGCAGGACCATGCCCAGTTAGACCATTCCATCCCAGCCAGGGCTTTGTCTAGCTCGGCCTTAAAAACCTCCAAGGATGGAGATTCCACCACCTCTCTCGGTAACCTGTTCCAGTGTTTCACCACCCTCTTAGTGTGAAAATGTTTCCTAATATCCAATCTAAAAATTCCCTTGCTGCAACTTGAGACCACTGCTCCTTGTTCTGTCAATGTTTTATTTTTGGCCCTTTCCTAGTTCCCCCTTCCCTCTCCCCATCACCCCGCTCCCGCTTCCAACCCTATCCCATTAGGGAGACAAAGCAGAAAAGAAGAGTTGCTGCCTGGAAGGTTTGGGAAGTCATTTCACCTTTCTGCCCTCCCATTTTCTGATCTGTATAATACTGAATAATACTGACATTATTTGAGATCTACCAATGAAAAGAGCTATATATAAGCCAGATAAGATGTTTGCTAGGGCCATGCTTTTCAGGCTTGTACGCTACTGGAGAGACTAGCAGAGAGACAGCTCTTCATATAAAATTCAGACACTTGCATTGCCTAGGAAGTGACCATGAAAATAACTGTTTGTCTGCCAGCTCAGCTGAACACCAATTAATATTGCTCAAAGGAGCTTGACAGACAGATAATAAAGGAAGGCCAAACCATCACAACTAACTTATGCACCTCCACCACAAATATCAAGAGCACCTAAATGCCCTGCCAACAGGCTAATGCTATAGTCAAACATCCTTTGAAGGTTTCCAGAAGGCTTATCTGTATGCTTTTCTAAGGGGAAATCCTGCCTCAATCTCCTAGAGTTCTCCCAGGCTGTTAACAAGCGTATAAAAAAGGGGAATCCAGTTGATATAACATATCTGGATTTTCAAAAAGCCTTTCAACAAGGTACCTCAAAGGCTTTTAAAAAACTGGGCTGCCAAGGATTGGAGGGAAGGTTATTTTGTGGTTTGAGACCTGGTTAAAAGACAGGAAGCAAAGGATATGGCTAAATGGTCACTTTTCAGGATACAGGAAGCACAAAAGAGGGATCCTGCAAGGATATGTGCTGGGCTTGGTTTTGTTCAACATTTTCAATCACCTGGAAATGGGGATACACAGTGAAAACTCCAAATTTGCAGATGATACTAAGTTGGTCCAGGTAGTCAAATCCCAAGCTGACAGAAAAAGTACAGAAAGATATCATCAAGCTGAGTGGGCAGAAAGTGGCAGATGAACTTCAGTGTTGACGAGTACAAGATAATGCACTTGGGGAAAATAACCTCAACTATATGTGCACAATGCTGAGAAAGAGACCTTAGAGTCATTGTAGATAGTTCTTTTAAAAAAAACACAACAAAAAAACACCAACCTCCCTACCCCTCCCCCCCAAAAAAACCCCAATCCCAAAACAGCTCAATATGGAGCAGCAACCCAAAACTAAATAAAAATGTTAGACATCATTAAAAAGGCACTGAAAACAAAATGGAAGATGTCATGCCACTACACAAATCCATGATGCACCCAAATATTGAATACTGTATGCAGTGGTCTCTGCATCTCAGAAAGGATGCATTAAAATTAGAAGAAGTACATAGAAGAGCAATCAAGATGATCTAGGGTATGAAGCAGCTAGCCTTTTTAATCTCTGCTGATATGGCAGGACTCCTGAGTTTTGAAAGGAGAAGGATTTTTGGGGGGAGGGGGGGGCTTGAAATGTGACAGAGGTCTATAAAAATCATGAAGTGTGGACAAAGTGAACAGGGAACTGTTATTCACCTATTCTAGAATGCTAGAATTAGAATGCACCCACTGAAGTTTACAAAAGACAGGTTTAAAATTAAGAGAAAGGGGTTTGGTTTTTATTTATATTAAATTCCCCCCCCCCCCCCAAAAAAAAAAAAAACAAACAACCCAACAACAAACAGATCACACAGTTAACTTGTGGAACTCATTACCACAGGAGTTTGTAGAGGCGGATAGTATAGCCAGGTTTAAAAAGGGACTAAATAGAATAATTGATAATAGATCCACTAATAACTATTAAACAGAACAGTCATGAGTATCTCTCTAAACCAATGACGGTTGATGCCAGGGAGGGTATGACAGGGGATACACCACTCTAGACATACCCTATAAAGCATTCACTTCTCAGGGTTTCTCTTGGGAATCATATTGCAAACTAAGTGCTAACATTGCATAGCACTCTGTATGCGAAGTATGTCAAGGTACCCCAGGGTGGCATGGCATCTTGCTCAGGAACCTAACTACATATCGTCAAGGTCATAAAAAAAGAACCTAGCAATTCTGGGTGGCCAATCTGAAACAGTTTGAAGCGGTGTAAAAACATGTGTAATCCCTGAAACTGTCCTGTCTTGAGTTGTATTCCCAAAAGTCAGCAGCCTTTTCTTTGAAAAACAAACTTCATATATTCAGTCTAGCTAGAATCATAGAATCATAAAAAATTAGGGTTGGAAGAGACCTCAGGAGGTCATTTATTCCAACCCCTGCTCAAAGCAGCACCAGTCCCAACTAGATCATTCCAGCCAGGGCTTTGTACCTTAAAAACCTCCAAGGATGGAGATTCTACCACCTCTCTAGGTAACCTGTTCCAGTGTTTCACCACCCTCTTAATGAGGATTTTTTTCCTAACGTCCAACTTAAATCTCCCTTGCTGCAACTTGAGACCTTTGTTCCTTGTTCTGTCATCTTTCACCACTGAGAACAGTCTTGCTCCATCCTCTTTGGAACCACCTTTCAGGTAGTTAAAGGTTGCTAGTAAATCTGCCCTCAGTCTTCTCTTCCGCAAACAAGCCCAGTTCCCTCAGCCTCTCCTCTTAAGTCATATGCCCCAGCTCCCTCACCATTTTTGTTGCCCTCCACTAGACTCTCCCCAACCTGTCCACATCCTTTCTATAGTGGGGGGCCCAAAATTGGACACAGTACTCCAGATGTGGCCTCACATAGAGGGGAATAGTTATTTCCCTCAACCTGCTGGTTACATTCCTATTAATGCAGCCCAGTATGCCATTAGCCTTCTTGGCAACCAGGGCACACTGTTGACTCATATCCATCTTATTGTCCACTGTAACCCCCAGGTCCTTTCCTTCAGAGCTCCTGCTTAGCCCACTGGTCCCAAGACTGTAGCAGTGTATGGGATTCTTTTGTCCTAAATGCAGGACTAATGAGATTTCTGTTGGCCCAATCCTCCAATTTGTCTAGGTCACTCTGAATCCTAGCTGTACCCTACTGCACCCCCCAGCTTGGTGCCATCTGTGAACTTGCTAAGGGTGCAAAATCCATCCCATCTTCCAGATCGTTCATGAAGATATTGAACAAAATAGGCCTCAGGACCCTGGATCCTCCTTCTTCCCTTTCTTAAAAGATGGGCACTACTATATTTGCCCTTTTCCCATCATCCGGGACCCCACCCAATCGCTATGAGTTTTCAAAGAAAATGGTCAGCAGCCCTACAAATGCATCAGCCAACTCCCTCGGCACCCTCAGATGCATTGCATCTGGCCCCATGGACTTGTACACACCCAGATTTTCTCAACTGTCCCTAACCTGTCACCACTGAGGGCTGCTCACTCTCTCCCCAAACTGTGCGGTCTGGTGCAGTAGTCTGGGAGCTGACCTTGCCTGTGAAGACTGAGGTGAAAAAGGCATTGAGCACTTCAGCTGTTTCCTCATCATCTGTCACTAGGTTGCCTCCCCCATTCAGTAAGGGACCCACACATTCCCTGACCTTCCTCTAGTTGTTAACATACTTGTAGGAACCTTTCTTGTTACCCTTCATGTCCTTTGCTAGCTGTAACTCCAATTGTGCTTTGGTCTTCCTTCTTCTCTGTGTGCCTGAGAAATATTCTTATACTCCTCCCTAGTTGTTCGTCCAATCTTCCACTTCTTGTAAACTTACTTTTTGTGTTTAAGCTCACCAAAGAGTTCTCTGCTAAGCCAAGCTGGTTGCTTGCCACATTTGCTATTCTTCCTGCACATCCAGCTGATTTGTTCCCATAAGGTTTCTTTAAAATACAACCAGCTCTCCTGGACTCCTTTCCCCCTAAGCCTGTTCTCCCAAGGATCCTGCCCATCAGTTCCCTGAGGGAGTCAAAGTTTGCTTTTCTGAAGCCCAGGGTCCATACTCTGCTGCTCTCCTTTCTTCAGAATCACTCAGAGGCTGGAAATGTGGACTGCTGCAAAATTACCTGGTCTAGTATAAGACTGTGGAAAAAGCTCCTCTAAAAACAGGAAGATGTTTTTCTTTAATAAAGACATCATACAAAGAAACCTGATTTGATGCCAGTATTGCACACTTGGATCCTGTTTGATGATATAAAATCTATCACTTCACTACTGTCTTCTACCTGGGGCTTCAAATCAGCCTTAGTGCCTATAAGAGGAAGAAAGAAAGGAAAGAAAAAAGTAAAGTGGAAAGGTGAGAAAAGAAAGAAGAAATACTAAAAGCAAAAACAGCAATATAACCTAACTGAGGAAAAAGTCTACAGGAAAAAAGACAGCAAATACCCATATGTACATGCCAGGATCAGAATTGTGGACTCACACTCGTATTTTAAACCCTCCCCTTCCCCCCCTTTCCTCCCAGGCCAGACTACTAGGCTCATTCTGTGCAGCAAAAAACCCTACAAATTTGTTCTACTGAACATTCTTCATGGTATCAAAGAAACTGCCAGGCAGCAGAGGCCTGATATCAGAACATGCCCAAACTAAAGGGATTGAAGCTATTTAAAATGCTATAGGTTGCTAAAGTGCTGTAAAATACAGCTCTTCAAATTTAATACCTCATTTAACAAGGGTTAATTTAAAGTGCTGTACCCATTTTAAAAAATGCCATAAAGCCATGCACTTCTGTTAGGTCACATCAATAAAGCGCTTTAAATAGCAAAAAAGCAACTTCTGTAGACACTTAGGGTGACCTTTGCATTTTACTAGCCCTGAGCAGCTATACTGGCTTTTTAAAAAGATGCCATCACCAAACCATGAAACATTGGTCAGTTCTAAATTAAATCCCAAAATTGCACAAATGCTCAAATGTCCCAGGACTGGGAAGGATCAAGAGTGTCATTCCCCACACTGCTGATCTTTACTGGGCCACAAGAGACCTGAGCCACATCTGATTTATAACAAGGGAAAATTTCTGTTCCCCTTTTCAGCTATATTCTATTCAATGTACATGTTAGAAATCCCAACAACCAATTTGTGTTATCTATAAGTTTAGCTGCCCCCGACACTTTTTAAAAAAATAACTAAGGGAGTTGGAAATCATCTTATTCACAATCCTTTAAAAATGCCATACAGAAAAATTAAAGTTGGTGCCCCAACATTCCTGGAAGCATTGCATTCCAGTGCTAAAGCTTCTAGCAATCTCACTACAAAGCTGCAATTGAATATAGCTAAAAGCATAAATTGGTTGAATACCTAGCACATATGTACCCCCAGGCCCATTTCTACTCAAAGTAAAAATCCATACAACTTCTTTGACATAATTGGAAATCAAACTAATATTAATAGAAATTCAGAGTTGTGCATTTTGATAGCCATAAAATAACACTGAACAATGCCCCCACCCCAACCAGTAAGTTCCAGTTAAAATGGAACTGGTTGCAAACACCCGAGCTAGAACAGAAAATAGATACCAATGATACATCTTAGTGACTATGACTTAATGCCATTCATTGCATACTGTTTACACAGAAAACTTACCTGATTAATAGCAAAAAAGATGCTGTCATAAACATCCTGCTGTGTGTATACACTTCTGCTATAATCGTCTTCATCAACACCTGAATAGTCTTTCAGAAATAGATGTTTAAATGCAACAGTGTTTTCTTCTTTGAAAGAAACTACTAACTGATTACTCAAACCAAAAAGGATAAGCTGAAAACAAAAACAAAAACAGCCAAAGTCAGTGTAGTGTTCCACCAGTAACATTTTGATGGCAGTAGAGTTCTCCACATCCTTAAATAATGGGTTAGTTACTAGTTAGAAAGTATGCAATTTCTATTCTGCATCACTATTAGGTGTTTAAGTGCTAACAAAACAAGGTCAAGAAATAATTTGTTCCTGAATCCAGAAGAAGAAATGTACATAATCAAAACAAAACAAGGTAAATTTCTACTTGAAAAGTTTCAAAAACCTGCACTATGAATCAATAAAACTATGAGCTTTCTGCTGGAAAAAGTCAATCATTTGAACTCATGCCCTCCTTTGATAGAGCAGCAATTCAGGCTGAAGCAATACTGAATTTTAAAAGGGCTTTCATAATCAAAAATAATTCCATTAAATAAAAGTTTATTGAGAGCAACATAATGGACTTGAGTTACTGGTAGTTACCAATACTGCCTTATGAAATCTGGTCAGTTCACAATTATTCTGCTGTCCCTTCCCATCTGGCAGTTTATCCCTAGAGCTGAATACTAAAGCAAGATTCAGTCTATTCTGACACCCTCAAGGGATGTAAAAAAAATCCCAAACCGTAATGGTAATTTTGCTGACAATTTTGATAATAATGTGGCAGGCATGTCAGAATGCAGTTTACTCTCCTCCTCTAAAACCAGGTGAAGCATTTTTAGACTAACAGTAGTAACTTTTTTTCATTTGTTATTCAAGAGTATGTGCCCAGTTACAGAAGGGGTCAATCCACTTATGAAAAACTTGCCATTACCACCATGCAACTTTCTATGCTACTGCTACCCTTCAATATCCCCTTAAAAAAAACTCTTAGGAAACATCAAATGCTTTACTCCAGGTATATTTGGGCAAACCAAGAGAGACACTGAAAGGGCTATGAAAGAACAGATCAAAAGTAAGAGAGAGCAAAGAAACTCCAAACAAACTCCTGTCCTTGTTAGTAAAAAGTGAAAAATGCTGAGGGCTCCTTGGCTCCAGAAGTGCCAATGCATGCACCAGCGGAGAAAGAATTACATTAAGGAAGGGGTCTTCCTGAACATGCAGACAGCTCTAGCACATCTGCTACTAAGTCTACTGGTAGAATGAACAGAAATCTAAACCCCAGGGCAATGCAGAGAGTAACAGACAGTTTAATTTTACACACACATGCACACCCCCCACCTCAAGTGGAACATATGAGAGATACCAAGTGAAGGAGTCATTTTCCTCAAACCCAACAGCAGGGGGAGGCACTCTACATTGCTGTCAGACCACT